GTTTAAAAATTTTATCAATATTACACAATGTGTTTACTAGCTTATAACATTTACTTTTGCTATTACTAACATATCTTTTAAAACCATTTTATCTTTAAAAACTATGTATATAAACTATAAATATCAACCATGTTTAAACCACCTTCTATGTATGTTTTTAATAAGTACTGATTGTTTTATTTTTGCCTTGCCTTCCCAAATGAAAATCATAAAATAAGTCATTAAGTGTTTTCAAAAATACAGTATTTTGGTGTTGGTAGGCTTGTGAAACAATGAGTAAATAAAGGAAGCAATATTGACTTAATAACAGCAATTTTTCCTATTGGAGTTAATATTCTCTTTTTCCAGTGAATGATACTATTTTTTACTTTTTGAAGTTTTTCATTAAAAATTTAAGTCAATCATTTTTTCTAAATCAACATCAAATATTAAACCTAACAATTTGAACTGAGTATCACCCCAATTAATTTCCAATCTTGTCTTAATTGACCTAGTACTATATTTAAGAGAGCCTATCCAAATAACCTTAGTTTTGTCAAAATTTATCTTTAATCCAGAAATTTCTGTAAAACTTACTTAATAACTTTAAAGCAGTAAATTGAGAGATTTTTCTGAACCATCTAATAGAAGTGATGTATCATCTGCAAATTGATTAATTATATATTCTTCCCCATCTATAATTATGCCTTTAAACATCCTTACATTGTCTTTATTTTTACTGCTAATATCTCTGCACATAAAATGAAAATATACGGTGAAATTGGATCGCCTTGCCTACAACCTCGTCTAACTTTAAAAAAAATTGGATAAAAAAACCATTTAATATGACACAAGTTTCAGTATTATATAAAAACAGAGATATCCACTTCCTAAACATAGGACCAAAACAGAATAACGAAAGACATTTCTCAATAAATGTAAAAAGACAGAGTATCAAAAGCTTTTTTCAAAATCTATCATCATAATTAAACCTGGCATATTATTATCTTCAGTAAATTTCATTATATCATATAATAATCTAGTATTTTTTCACCAATATATCTATTCTTTACAAATCCAGTTTGATCTTTTGACACTAAAATATCTAAAAACAGTTTTTAATCTATTTGCTATACTACCTGAAGCTAATTTATATACTATATTTAATAAGGTAATTGGTCTCCAATTTTTTAGAAATTGTTTTGGCCTGTTTTCTTTCGGAATACATGTTATGGTTCCTAATTTCTGATTTCTAGAAAATGAATTAGCATTATATGCATAATTAATAGCTTTTCACAACAAAATGTCCAATTCTGTTCCAAAAAGGTTTTAAAAAAAGTTAACTGTAAATCCATCACATCCAGGACTTTTTATCATTTTTCATATTTTTTAATGTAAAAGAGACTTCATCGTACGAAAGGAGACCTTCTAGTTTTGCTGATTGATCCTGAGACACCATAGTAATATCACAATTCTCTAATTCTTTATCAATATCAGAGTCATCAGTCAAAAACAACTTTTTTATACAAATTTTCATAATAAGAACAAGTTTCTGTAAGTATATCTTTTTAATCATATATAAAAGTTCCGTCATCAAGTTCTAGGAAAGGAATTGTTTTAGCTAAACAATGTGATTTTTCTAAATTCAAAAAATAGTTAGAAGGTTTTTCTCCTAATTCAATCCACTGTGACCTAGACCTGATCATAGCACCTTTAATTTTATTGCATCTAAGTTCATTCAATTCATTTTGTAAATGTAAAAGTTTGTCTTTATTTTCAATTGTTAAATTTTGTTCAATATGAATAATTTCTTCCATTAGTTGTTTTTCATAAACATTTCTTTCCTTTGCCTTAAACGAGCTATAAGAAATAGTTTTACCTCTGGTTTCCATTAAAAGTGTCTCCAAAAAAAGTTCAGCATTAATAACAAAATCTATTTCTGTATTTTGTATATCTAAAATATAATCTATTTCATAAACTGGTAAACAATATTGTAATTTTATTTCATCTATTTTCTTATTTATTATATCAAGGAACTCAATATCATGTAAAAGAGCATTGTTAAATTTCCATAAACCTTTTCCATGACTAACAGGAACAAAAACAAAAATCTTAATATATTATAGAATGATCAGATCTATAAACTAACATCTATGTCACATTTACGTACAAACTGATACAGATTACTTGTTACAAGAAAAAAATCTAATCTGCCTTGTTGTATAGGGTTAGTTCGTCTCCATGTATATTTTTTTCTGACATCACCATGTAATTCTCTAAAAGGGTCTATTAGGTCTTTATCTTCAATAGCTTCTAATAAAAAATTTCTAGCCTTAATATTATGAACCTTTGATTTATAATTATGGTAATCTAAGTCTGGATTCTGAACAAGATTAAAGTCTCCACAAAAAATTAATGAATCATTATCACTAAAAGAATCTAAAACATCAAAAATATTTTTAAAGAAATTAGGACTATCAATGTTTGGAGCATAAACATTAACTAGTAGAAAATTTATTGAATCAACTGATACTTGTAAAATTTTAAAATTTCCAGAGTCATCAGTTTTAACTGAATTATAATCTATATATAGTTCTATCGTTTTATGACCACTGATTGTTCCATGTATATATGAGAGTATATATGAGTGGCGGGAAGATAATGGACATGCGCATTACAGTATAAGGTAAAAAAAAATGTGCAATATAGAACAAATAATTACTGTTATTTCTGTAACTTACCAATAACAAGCTATATATATACTATTTGAGGCTGAAACACAAACAATTGATACTACAAAATTAACTCATATACACGCGTTGTTTTCACCCCTTTTACACCCCATTTCAGTGAAAAAATACTCTATTTCGGCCTTAAACACTTGTTTTCGTTTGAGAATGTTTTATAAAAAGTGATCAAATTTTTCGGCGCCGCCCCATTAAGAAAATTTTTGACTTGTAAGAGGCTAAAAATTGTCTGAGGTCGATCTTAGGTAATGTGTAACCAACGTTTAAAGGCCTTTGACATTTTTTCAATCCATTGATATTTCTTGATATGTTACCTTCATGATATAAAATGTTTATTTTTATTATTATTATTATTATTATTATTATTATTATTATTATTATCATGCAGCACTTCGAAATCAGTTGGTAATTTTGAGATGTCCCATCGTTGCCTTGGTAACAGGAAATTTAAGAGTTAGTATGCCGTTACAAAGGCTATGCATGGTCAAGTCAACTTTGTGCCAAGTTTGATCAGTAATGAGTATTGAAGCATTTTGTTTAGTTTCATAGCAATTTTAGTTTGTAACAGGAGGCTTTTCAATGAAAACAGCAATGTTTCACAAAATGCCCATGAATACGGTGTATAATGGGTTAAGTTGAAATACAGTTGATTCAAGACCGGCTCCGGCGCATTGACCAGTTCCAAACAATCAAGCGAGCCATTCATGTAAACCACAATAAATAGTTTTGTTGTTTATTGACATTAACAAATAAATATTTTAGTCATTATTCTATTTCAGCTTCTAATATTTTTTGTGCGATAATTGACTCTACATGAGGCAAAATGATGAAATCCATATCGGCATTTTTATCGGTACATGCTATAATGTAAACTGAAAGAAAGGGACACATTTTATATATCGATGGAAAAGTTGTTATTTGCCATACAACTTCATCCAAAAATATATGCAAAAAAGTAAACAAAAAGATATTCATACCTGTTTAATCCAGGAGACCTATTTTGACCAGTTCCGAACACGTACATGTATTTTTGATGACGGGATTATTATCAGACTGTACCCAAATGAAAACGTTTTCGCGTTTTCTGATCAGAAAAAAAGTTCTTTAATGTTGAAATATATGAATGAGTATATGTTAGAAAGTGTGCCAACATTTTATTTGAGGTATACGTATTTTAAAGTTAAATTATAATCATTTTTTTTAAATGCGCTTACTGTACGCCACTGTAATATAGTAGGAAAGTCGTTACTTAAAATACCCTACAATGTTATTATTTTATAACAAGTACTGTACGTATAGTGTAATATTAATATAACTGAAAACTGAATAATGAAATAAAATGCAGGATATAGAGCAAAACAAAACATGGACATGGATATCTACATGTGTCAGTGTTGACAGATATTATTCTTAACTAAAGATGTTTGTCAATATGGATAAAATAAAAAAACATAGATTATCTATAAAGAGTATTTACCAGTAATGGGACTAGAATAAGTGTTGTTCAAGCATATTTGCAAAACAAAAACCTATTTTCATCTTGGACATTGTATACGATCCCTGTTTTAAACAGAACTTACCAGAAATAATGACAAAAATCAAATGCATGCAATGCAATTGCAGTTCTGCTTCATCTCACGCCAAGCATGGTGGTGCTTTAAAGTTTACAATACCATATACATGTATACCCCGAATGAATATTAAAATAATAAATCAGACTTAAAAATTTTGGCTGTGTACTTACTTAGTTTAAGTACTAGCTCGCAAAAATAGTCAAATTCTACGTAGGTAATATTACAAATGGCATTTGTAACGTTATGTGCACCGGACCTTGCTTCGGAAATGGTGAAACCAACCAGATTCAATCAAGCAGTATTCTTACTAATAAAAGAAAGATAATATACAAAATGTATTTTCCGATAATTGTTAGGTTTGAAGTCGAATCAAATATCAACTAGCTAGCAGGTACATTTTTTAAACCAACTATTCGGAACCGGTAAAACAACAGTATCACATTTTTATTAGATTTATTTTATAACAAAGTAAAATATACATTGTATTTTTTTAAACCAAAACAAAATGCTGAGGCCATTATCATACTTAATTTTATTGCATTAAGAACACATAAATTTACGGAAACGCTATATAATTTTATGTAAATCATTATATAATACATTTTACCATTGAGTTTTTTTAGTTAATATAGAAAAACAATCAAAACAAAATCTATTATTTATAAGTCCAAAGTTTTCATGCTATTTTTGCCTCATCATTTAGAAAATTAGAAATATATATAGCCATAGAGGGAAAATACATTTTACTGGTAAGTGAAGGACAATATTTAGTGTTTTGAGGCCTTTATGAATCGCGCATGCGCTGTTAAATTGAAGAAAATATCAGTATGGCGGAGGTTAGTCCCGGATAAGATTTTTCTTAAAATTTGAAGAAATTGATGTAAGTATCTTTTAAATCTTGTAGCCGTTATGTTACATATTTTATACTGAAACGAAATGATTACTTCATGAAACAGAAATAACTAATGTGCCAACACAAATTACAAAAAGTTAATAATTAAAAACGAAAGTAGATTTATGAAAAACTGGGGGAATTCCCACATTAGGCTAATACTTATAGATGTTTCAAATGGAAAGGCAACACCCATTTATTAAGCATTTATAAATCATATATGTTATCTGAAATCATAATTTTGATGAATACTTTATTTAACTAATTTTGATATGAAATTAGGCAAAGCCTACCGCGGTAGTAATAGAATGCGAAATGGACTCCATTTCGCGAAATGAACTTTTCGACTACGAAATGGACATTTGTTTCTTAAATTTTGGTTTAAGTGTACTATTTAATATCATTTTAAATTTAAATAACGAACAAGTGAATTATGACATAAAATTACTATTTAAACAATTTTGGTAATATTTTTTCATTATTTGTGCTTGTAGGTTTGAAAATAATCGTAGAATAATGCCACATAGTTCAGTGTTTTATACATGGTCTTTCAAATAGAAAGATTCTGTTTTATAGGATATTTAACCTAGGACAAAAATATTTTTGTCGTCCCAGATTAAATATTAGTTTATAGAAAAGATACCCTTTGTGACATGTAGTTACACCATAATTTGTAAAGCAAAGGTCCATTCCGTAAGCGAAAACTCCATTTCGTGGCCGAAAACTCCATTTTATAGAGGCCAGATTATTTTCAGAAATATGACTATAAAATAGGAAAATAGATATATTAATTGGTTCAATCTGTAGTTTTATGTCATATATTAAACATAAATTAATAAAAATAATATTACTCATCACGGTTAAACAAACAAATGTCCATTTCGTAGGCGGTAAGTTCATTTCGCGAAATGGAGTCCATTTCGCATTCTATTACAACCCACTGGAAGTCGTTAAAAATTCCTTTCATTCTTTCCGCTTTAAAGGTGTCATTCGGTTTTACATGCACCGCTTCCGTTTTCACTCGGAACACTCGACGATTATCATTTATCCGAAAAGTCGAGATACCAGGGATAAAAACTAACCATTTAAGCTTGGTGGCCACCTGGGCCACTGACTGTAAAATTTTGGTGGCCCAGTAAATATATTAGTGGACCAACAAATTATGAACAGAAAGGGACTAGCACTGGCAAATTTTTTTTACCCAATTTTTTGGCAACGAAAATTGCGTGCCTGTATTTCATTTTCAAATAAGGCAGAATGATACAGCATGAGGTATTTAGAAAAACATAAACTATAATGTCCACTTTTATTTTGGTACCTACATTTTTTATCACATTAACACATCAAACTTATAAAATTTACAGTCAATAATTATAAAAGCTTCCAGCTCAGTAGCTATGACATTTGCCTGGTTAAGTCAGTGGCATGACAGTAACAACAGAAACACATTCCAATGTGCTGCTTCAGCTTGCTTGGTTAATGACAAAGATTTGGCTTGAAGACTATCTGTATCTGAAATAATACAGAAGAAACAAGTTTGAAAGTAAGAGTGAAGAAAATAATATTGAAAATTCTAAACTAAAGATAATTAAGGAATAAAATCACATGTACTACTGTCATTATAAGAGTACAGGAATCAGTATAAGTTATCTGAAGGCATTTTCTGTTTGTATGTTACTTAACTGAATCTTTCTTTAATATTTCACAGTCATAAGCCATTTATAAATGAATACTTCTGCAAGAGCTCTAGGGGTTACAAAACTTAAATTTGATTTTAAGTCAAATCAAGGTCAATCTTTTTTTCCAAGGAATTCTCTAAAGCCAAATGTCAAATAAATTTCTTGTAAAGGAATAATTAGGTAAGCATAAAATGGCAATCAACCCCCTCCCCCGAAGAAAAAAAAATGAAAAAAAAACATATAAAAAAGCAACCATTACTCTTAACCAATATTTTCTTTTGATCTGTTTATCAACATTGATAAGATTTACTGAATGCAAACTTACCGTCAACAGGTCAAGTTGTCAACTGCAGAACATAATTTGTCGCTATTTCATACCCAAACTTCAGATTTGATTAGCGATAATCTTGTACTAACTTCTCCTAGAAAAAATAGTAGATTGTACCTGTCTTAATGCATACATGCGATTTATTTCAAATTTGTACTGTCTACTCTATCTTCGGCGTACATGTTATGACGTCATCGTGAAAAATCGATTCCGTGAAAGCTGGTAGTAGCTACCAGTGTGTCTAGCAGGTAAGTGTGGGTTACGCATGAAGATTAAATTAAACGAAATATCGGGGGAAATAAATCTATTCATTATTTTTTAATAAATGTGTGCATTATTAAATACTATTGAAAAGTATCATTGTATTTAACCTAAAATGCAATGGTCGCAAATAGGCTCTGTACAAGTACTGTTGTTTAATATTTTTAAATATTTAGATACATAGGCTATACTCAACATTTATCAATTGGTGGTTTGCCTTCTTGTTTACTGCTAATGACTGCCAAGTGTCACTCTCGGATAAAATACTGACTTCATTTATACATGCATATATATTTATATGACAATTAAGAACGTAAAAGAAATATTGAAGGAAACTATTTGAAATACACTTCAAATTATTCAGTATTTGTACAAATAATATTTCAAGAGCTCTTTTTCACCGATTGCCGATATATAATACCATATTAAACCTATTGATAAAGTTAAATGTCTTCTTGACATACTTTATTAATTTACTAAAAAGGAACTTTATTGTGATCCAGCCATATGCTGTGTAACTATAAAGGAATGGTCACATATTTTAATTGAAATAAATTTTAAGTAGAGGATATTAAAAAAAAAGTCATTGAGAAGATCAGAATTTTCAAATGAACAGATTAAGAGACTTATAAATGTATAAGGTGTATGTATTGTTGTTTCATACTGTTTTGGTGACACTTTTGTTTGTGTCCCTTGTTGTTTTCTCGTCTATGGTTAGTTTCTTCCCTTTGCCCCTAGTTTTATTTCTTTATTTCGCCCCCTCCCCCGAATTTCCTATCCCCTTCTCCTGTGCCCGTTAATTTAGTGGTCCTGTTTCATACTGTTTTGGTGACACTTTTGTTTGTGTCCCTTGTTGTTTTTTCGTCTTTGGTAAGTATCTTCCGTTTGCCCCTAGTTTTATTTCTTTATTTCGCCCCCTCCCCGAATTTCCTATCCCCTTCCCCTGTGCTCGTTAACTTAGTGGTCCTATTAATCATTCATTTATTTATTTTCTTTGATTTCCTTCTCAGTTACATTTTAGTGATAAGCCTGACCGTGCTCTCCCTTGCGCCCTTTCCCGTTTTAATTTAGGATCCTCCTGGGCTCCTTGCCAATGGTTCATGTTCCTGGGTCGTGTGGGGTTTGCGTTCATTAAACGCCGCCTTTCCTTGTTCATCTTGTTTATCATATTGTATACATGTATACCGAACCGTAACAAACAGATAATGATTATCAATACAAGGTTCGGCAAGCAAGCAAAGAAATGTAAAGAAACAGAAAAAACTTATCCACATTCATGTATCCACCCTCCAAAAAAACCCACCAAAAACGCCTGAAACTGCAAAATCGAAACATAAATACACAGGAGTGCCAAAGACGGCTCTGGTAGGTTCAAGTGCTCCCTTTCGCCGGTTTAAACAGAATTGATCACTTAAACATAATAATGTTGAAATTTTTAATCAACATCCACAGATGTGTACATAATACGGCGGTAATCATGGAACTTTCAATGTGACACATTCGAGGTGCCGTTCAACGGGAACTAGATAACATGGAATCTTTAATGGGTATCAGAGGTTTTGGTGCCTTTTGCGACAGTCGTTCCAACATTTCTCCCATCTGTCTTACATTGTTATGCTATTCAACATCTAAATAACTGTCACTAAATTTCCGCTTGCTGTGTTTTTATCATAAACCCCGTCAAATCTGTGCGACAATTGTATTTTACTGAGGACTGTCTGAAATTTCATTTTATAGTTTGAAATTTTTTTTATTTTTTTTCAGAGTTTTAAAGTTATTTTTGGTTGTTTTGAACTTCTTCCCATACACAACCGTCCTCAATTTCTTTTAAAGATAATAAACTAGAAATTGATATGGAGTGTAATATAAATTGAAATTCTTCTTTGCTTCATCATGTATTTTATAATTATAATTCATTAAGATGTACCTACAATTACATTGTATTTTCGTATGTGGGAAATCATGACAGGGTTATAAAATAAAAAGGTAGTTCAGAAATTTCACCTTATGATCACAGATGTTAAAAAATCCAACTTAATAATATCTAATTTGACAATTTAAACGCCGGACTTAAATGCAGTATGATCTGACATCGGACATCATAAACTATTTAATTTCTAAGTAAGGTTATCATAATTTCCTTTACACATTCTCTTTTTAATGCTGAAATATTTGTGTGTGAATAAAAGAGTTATTCCTGCAATAATTCATATAAATAACATAAACAAATTGTATAATAAAGCTTGGCAAATACAATTGATTGCCGCCGATACCTGTGTTACACCATGGATTTTACCAGTGTTTACAATTTTACCATGACACCGCTTTCCAATATGGCCGCTTTCAATAATTTTCAACGATTAAAAAAATTAAAGTGGAATATTTAGACTTCTGTTCGACTTGGAAGTATGATAATTTGGAACCTTACATAAAAAACGATTCTCTTTCAGGTAATGTAGACCGTTTCTTTGAAACTTTTCTAGTTTTCGCTCCCAACAACTTCTAATTGGGAAGCGTCCGTGCATAAAAATGCAGTTCGTGGTTGGACTTGGAAAAAGACAGCGCCCGTCCAAAATTATCTCGGTGTCTCTTTGACAAGTCTAATTAGTTGGACTAACGTACCGTTATCGGAATACCCCGCCATTTATCATTGAGTTACATTGTAAATGGCGGCGCCCGACTAGAACTGACACTGAAAATTTCTTTGATAGGTATAGAATTTTATATATTTTTTAATTGTTTTTTATGTGATTTTCTTTTAAATATACATGTGTAGTCTATAGCCGGGCTTCGCGGGCCCAGTCTTTGACGGCAATATCCGGTTATCTGCCCCCCGGGACTGAAAAATTTTAATCAATTTTTTATGACAGCCTTGTGCTAAACATTTCTAATCTGGATCATTTAGGCGCTTGAAATGTATCTCATACGCATGCGCATTAAAAATAAAAATATTTACTTACCTTGCGTTATGTCATGTACACGTGACAACTGTCAAAGGTAAGATATCTTCTTCTTGAAGGTGTATCACAGAATATAAACAAAACAAAAGTTCTTATATATTTACAGTATATAGCTGACTGCTGAAATCGTTGTACTACTTGGTACATGTATGAAGAGGTCCTTATCTAGGACTTTAATTATTACTTCAAAGTAACATTATGCGATCTTTACTGAAAGTCGTCATCCGAAGATGACCACAACAAATAATTTGACTTCGTGTATGGGTTTGCTTCTCTTCTTTTATGGGACCTTTTTTTCTCAGATTTCGTCGGTGCGTAACCTGCGGGATGGCAAACATTATCCGTTTTGGTTTTCTTCCTGGTACCTGTGCTGTTATCTTTACTGGTTCCTGCGACGGCAATGGGGCATTCAGGCGCTTCCACAACGGTTTCATCCAATGAACTGTCTGAAAACAGGTCTGACAATAATGCAACTGTTTCTGGCCGAAGATTTTCAGATTTCCTTTCCCGTTGCGCAGCTGTTGGAACATCATCATCAGATGAAATTGTGACGATGTCATGTTCAGGATGTGAAGATGGTGAAGGCGTAGTTCGTGGAATTGGTGGTGTTCCTGTTAGATAGGATTCAGGGTTTTCATCAACACTGGAACTTGATTCGCTCTGGGCATCTGTTACTTCTGGTTCCACTGTCCAGTTTGTCATGTTTCCTACTGCGCCGGACCAGGAATCAAACAGTGGGGTAGTGTACATATACTGAGGTGGTTCCTGTAGGGTATAAATTGATCTCAGGAGATCAAAAAATGCTACATATGTGTCGCCTTTCACATCGGCACGCCACATAATCTCCGCCATGTGACCTTCCCATTGATTTGCTTTATTTCCGGACATCTTCCGAAAATGGTCTTTAGCATGCTTCCAGGCCCCTTCTATTCTATTCGTATGTACCGTAACTATGTCCCCGGTTTCAAGATTTTTGTACTCCTTTTTAAACGAATATTTGTGTAACACAGAGAAATGTCGGTACCCCAATTCATTTAATTTACAGTAGGCAGTCCATCCATCGCTGAAAATGGTGCTTCCCTTTTCTACGTGGCGTTCGATTAATGGGATAAGCGTTGCATTCGATCTGTCCTCTACAGGATATAGGATAACTGTGTTGGAAGCTCTCTCTACCATTCCAAACACCCATACCTGTTAAAAATCATAAGATATTTTTTTATTCAATATTGCATTGCATGAAGTAATTAGATATGAAAAAGACAGTAATAACATATTACTAAAGGTGTATACCCGAGTTAACGAATTACACATGCATATCGAATGCAAAAGAAAGGTATATTGGCATATTGGTACCTAGCTTTGTTTAAAAATGTACATGTGAAACAAATGTATGTATATATATTTTAAAGAATAATATTTCAGTGTAAAGACTGCTTACTTTTAATCCTTTATTAGGATTTCCTCGGTGAAATTTCACTCTACGGCCAAAGAGGGATTCATCAATCTCCACTTCCCCAGTAAGCACACGATGCTTCATGTTGCGATGAAAATATTCCTTGAATATCTCCCTTATAAAAGATGCCCAGTCAACAGCTGTGGTCTTGTAGTGCACACCGGCGGAAAGAGACACGTGCCTAAGAGATAGTCCATCAAGGTAGGATTTTACAAACATGAAAATGTCCTGAATGCAGAGTTTTGAATTTTCGAAAAAAGAATTCGTCCTGATGGCAACCTCATGGTTTCTGTTTTTATTGCATCGTAGAGTGGCTCCTGAAGGTTTACCGGCCCTTTGGCTTGGCCTCATGGTACCAGAACATGCATCGTCGCCTTTTGAGCAAGGCATGCTTTTAAGAAGCAAATTATTGTCCATGAGCCATTTATTCAACGCACTGTCATCCTGGTTCATCAATATGAAGAAATTCCAGGGATTCTGCAAATCACATATTTGAATTTCGTCAGCGTTCAATATTCTTTTTCTATAATTTCCCGCATTGATGCTTGAAGACGCCATATCTATTCAAGAACTGAAGGAAGACTAGAGCACGAGGCACGGACTGCACAGCGTAGTGAGCCAGAGTAGTGAGCCGTGAAATCATATAGCAAGGGGTTCATATGGGATTTTACATGATAAAGAAGAAAAGCTGGTTTAAAATATGAAGAAATTGTATTTCCTCTACGGAATGAAGTTATACATTTTACAGCTAAACACTTCAGTATATTGTTCATTCAGTATAAAATTACTGACGGAATGAACCCTGGCATTGATACTGCTTATATATCATTTCATTATATCGTTCATTCCGTATTAAAATAGCCGACGGAATGAAGTTATACATTGATACTGCTCATATAATTTCATCGTACCGTTTTAAAATAGCACACGGAATGAACTTATACATATATTCTTTTAACATCGTTTCAGTTTATCGTTCATTCCGTATTATATAGCCAAATTATATCGCCGATATATATATACTCCGGTTATCAGTCCCGGGGCAGATACGTACTGGGCATTCTTAATGTTACTTTTAATGTCAGTAAAGACATATCATTCCTTTGATGCTTATTAAGACAGTACCCCCAAAACATTGCCAAGCCCCATTTTTTAAAGCATGATGGCCCCCGAAGAAAACCCTCTTCCCGGGGAATACTTCCCCTTTAGTAGCATTTAATTATTGTTAGTAATTTATTTCGTCACTATATATATACTCCGGTTATCAGTCCCGGGGCAGATACGTACTAGGCTTTCATAATGTTAACTTAAAGTCAGAAAAATTAAATTTATTCCTTTTATAAATGCTTATTAAGACAGTACCCCCAAAACATTGCCAAGCCCCATTTTTTTTAAAGCATGATGGCCCCCGAAGAAATAGAGGATATTTGTTTAGTTCAGTGTAAGATCGGAATATATTTCACCGAGTGAGCACCAAAAGGTTTATTTCATGAGTGGCGCAGCCACGAGTGAAATATAAACTTTTGGTGTTCACAAGGTGAAATATATTTCGATCTTACACTAAACTAAACAAATTTTCTTTTTTATTATATGCAAAGAAACGTTTTAAAAAGACATTTAACCTAATATTGAATGAAAAGCGCGCCAAATTATTATACAACGTGACGTCATTTACGACGTCACGTCATTAAGTTGGTACCCAGTACTGTGCACGCTTGTATTTCATTGAAACAACGTAAGGGGCTTAAATTCAAAACAGTGAAATTATCAAAGTGGTAATTTCACTGTTTCAAACAGTGAAATTACCAGTTTTATATCACTGATATATTTCTATAAACCACCGAAAAGCATGTAATAAAACCCTCTTCCCGGGGAATACTTCCCCTTTAGTAGCATTTAATTATTGTCAGTAAATTATTTCGTCGCTATATATATACTCCGGTTATCAGTCCCGGGGCAGATACGTACTAGGCTTTCATAATTTTACTTTAATGTCAGAAAAATTAAATTCATTTCTTTTATAAATGCTTATTAAGACACTTCCCCCAAAACATTGCCAAGCCCCATTTTTTTAAAGCATGATGGCCCCCGAAGAAAACCCTCTTCCCGGGGAAAACTTCCCCTTCAGTAGCATTGAATTATTGTTTGTATATTATTTCGTCGCTATATATATACTCCGGATATCAGTCCCGGGGCAGATATGTACTAGGCTTTCATACAAGTAATACCTAGTACGTATCTGCCCCGGGACTGATAACCGGAGTATATATAATTATAGCGACGAAATAAATTACTAACAATATTAAAATGCTACTAAAGGGGAAGTATTCCCCGGGAAGAGGGTTTTCTTCGGGGCATTCATGTTTTAAAAAATGGGGCTTGGCAATGTTTTTTGGGGGATACTGTGTGAATAACTTCATACGGAATGAACGTTATTAACTCGTTTTCAAAACTATCACTACATATGCTCAGTACGCATCTGTCCCGGGAATGAAAACCGGATTTTATATAACTACATGTGTGTTATTAAATGATATTACCCCTCTTGTAGCCCTTACATACCTAACTGTCTATACTGCTGTATAGTCACGTAAAAATGCATTTATCAGTAATTTAAGTTACATGGATGACAAAACGTTCAATACATGCTTAAATGTATAGGAAATAAATCTTGCAGCAAAGCGCGAAATTTATAGTAAGAATTAATGCCCTTCCTTGGGAGTAACCTCAACCAATGAAATTCAAGGAAAAACAAGCGTCCAAGAGATCCTGATTTTTGGATGAACTAATCTGCCCCGGGGGGCAGATAACCGGATATTGCCTCTTTGACTTCCCCGTATTAGGATACAGTAGATCTATGATAATTTTCCAAAAGGTGTTCAGCGAAAACGAAAGTAGAAATTATTAACCAATTATTTCGTTCTAAATTATTTCGAATTCAGACCTGAATCTAACCAGTTTCTGACCTCAATTCAACCAATACAAGGGGCAGGACGTGAAGTGGTTGCACACTTGGTTCAAGCGAGCGAATTGGTTGCAAACTTGACATTATGGCAAACACGGCGTGAGTTTTTGAAATGGGTAAACGAATTTTTGCCAGGCAAATGGGTTTCTTTGATATTTTAAAGTTCATTAGTATGTCTATTCCATAATTCAATATATATGAATATAAATAATATCAATAAATAAATTTCAAATTCAATAAATATCACATGTCAAATTTCAAAATATCTACATGATCAATTTATATCTTCAATAACTTCGTCAAAACAGAATCAAGGATGCTGAAACCTTTAACCAAGTGTGGCATATATATTGCATTATGGAACAGACATACCAATGAACTTCAAAATAACAAAGAAACCCACTTGCCTGGCAAAAATTCGTTCACCCGTTTCAAAAAATCACGCCATATTTGCCATTATGTCAAGTTTGCAACCAATTCGCTCGCTTGAACCAAGTGTGCAACCACTTCACATCCTGCCCCTTGCAATATATAACAATAATGTAACTAAAATGTGTCCATAATCTGACCAAATTCAGACATTCCGAAAAGTAACAGGTAAATCTGTTCTTATTTTATTAAATCTATATACATGTATATAATATAAACAATAAATACAAGTTGTGGCCTCCCATTACCAGCACGGGTTCGTAAAATGCATTCACACGTGTAAACTGTATAAAATATCCTCCATTGATTCCATCAAAGTTATTGTAGAAGTTAATATATGAATCAGGGATCATCGATCCTGGGGGGAAATTTTAGGGAGAAGGGAAACAACCCAATGTGTATGCATTAACGAATTATAGACAGGGCGGACCGTATGTTTGGACGGGCGGACCATATTTTGGGACAGGGTGGACCGTTTATACCGGGAATAAACTTTAACCTTTACTTAATGCAGTTTATTGATTAAAAATATTTTTTAGGATATTATTAATAACCACATTGAGTTGGATATTATGCAGGTGATAATTGACCAATATTACATGCCATTGTTTGTTAAATATAAGATGGAAAGCCGCTAAAATTGAAATTCTTTATTAAACAATATCTGAAATATATGAACGAAGCTATCCTATTATGTGGTTCCCAAACTTAAAAGCGCTGCGCATTTTACACACGGCAAAGCTGGGGCCACATAATCGGATAGCTTCGTTCATAGCCGTCTGGTCCATTGAATTAATCGAAACTTTTTGTCGTTGAAAAAACACCGGCGAGAATATTGATGTTTATTTCGGCTGTTGCGTTGTTTATATTACCGTTGAAGTTTAAAATTGTGTATTATTATAGATGTTGAAATATGATTTTTTTTCAAAACGGCATATATTAAGATTTTTTGATATATATGATCAGTACATGTCCTGGGATTGACAAATATGCATTTTATTTGGATTTTAAAGGCGTTTTGAGCTCCAAACCCCAAGTGTCTGTGAATTGCTGAAGAATGTCCAGTCCGCAATGTATTGATTTTGACATTTTCACATTTGAAGCATGTAGAATACATAACTTAGCAATGCACTGGCTTAGTAACCTCAGATTTGGCAGGGAGGTTGTCCTTGAACTCTAAATGGCCACTGTTGATTCTGACAAAGTGGTATGCGGGGGTATTCACGCCATGATAGTGGCAGTTCAAGTTTATATTAACATTGAGGGCATTTTATAAGGAAAATATGTTTTATATATGAGATTTCCTCAAACCATTCACATTAGCTTATACAACCTATTTTATACTTATAATTGTATGGGTCAATATCTATAATAATGAATATAAAGTTAGATTAATCCACAATCCACCTTATGTTGTGTGCACATGATTAAAATATTAATATCATATGAAGATTTAAGTTTTAGATCGATGTTAATTTTTATACCCCCACACAACAAAGTTGTAAGGGGGGTATACTGGAATCAGCTTGTCAGTCCGTCCGTCCGTCCGGCCGTCCGTCGGTTTTTTCTTGTCCGCCCAATAACTTAAGATTCCTATGACCCAAAGTCTTCATATTTGGCATGGAGGTTAGTCATGATTAGTAGATGACCCCTATTGATTTTGAGGTCATCAGGTCAAAGGTCAAGGTCACAGGGGCCTTGATTTCAAAAAGCTTGTCCGCCCAATAACTTAAGATTCCTTTGACCCACAGTCTTCATATTTGGCATGGAGGTAAGTCGTGATAAGTAGATGACCCCTATTGATTTTGAGGTCACCAGGTCAAAGGTCAAGGTCACAGGGGCCTTGATTTCAAAAAGCTTGTCCGACCAATAACTTAAGATTCCTTTGACCCACAGTCTTCATATTTGGCATGGAGGCTAGTCATGATAAGTAGATGACCCCTATTGACTTTGAGGTCACCAGGTCAAAGGTCAAGGTCACAGGGGCCTTGACTTCAAAAAGCTTGTCCGCCCAATAACTTAAGATTCCTTTGACCCACAGTCTTCATATTTGGCATGGAGCTTAGTCATGATAAGTAGATGACCCCTATTGACTTTGAGGTCACCAGGTCAAAGGTCAACGTCACAGGGGCCTTGACTTCAAAAAGCTTGTCCGCCCTATAACTTAAGATTCCTTTGACCCACAGTCTTCATATTTGGCATGGAGGTTAGTCATGATTAGTAGATGACCCCTATTGATTTTGAGGTCACTGGGTCAAAGGTCAAGGTCACAGGGGCCTTGACTTCAAAAAGCTTGTCCGCCCAATAACTTAAGATTCCTATGACCCACAGTCTTCATATTTGGAATGGAGGTTAGTCATGATTAGTAGATGACCCCTTTTGATTTTGAGGTCACTGGATCAGAGGTCAAGGTCATAGGGACTTTGCCTTCAAAAAGCTTGTCCACCCATTAACTTAAGATTCCTTTAACCCACAGTCTTCATATTTGGCATTGATGTTGATCATGACTATAAGGTGACCCCTATTGATTTTGAGGTCACTGGGTCAAAGGTCAAGGTCACAGGGACCTTGACAAAAAAAGCTTTTCTTCTCAATTGCTAAGAATGTCCTGTCCGCAATGTATTGATTTTGACATTTCACATTTGAAGCATGTAGAATACATAACTTAGCAATGCACTGGCTTAGTAACCTCAGATTTGGCAGGGAGGTTGTCCTTGAGCTCTAAATGGCCACTGTTGATTCTGACAAAGTGGAATGCGGGGGTATTCACGCCATCATAGTGGCAGTTCTAGTTTAAATTCAAATCTGTTCAATATGTAAATGCTTATAATTATGACATGTTTAGGATAATAATGATGCCAAAATATGTATAGAAAATTAAATAGCAATATTTAATTCGAAAATAAACATGGTCCGCCTCGTCTCGAGTCACTGTCCGTCCTGTCCCAAAATATGGTCTGACCCGCCCTGGTACGGTCTGTCCTGTCTCACGGTCTGCCCTTCCCTGGTACGGTCCGTCCTGTCTCACGGTCTGACCCGCCTTGGTACGGTCTGTCCTGTCTCACGGTCTGCCCTATCCTACATGTACCACCGCATTATCATGCATGGCTAATTGGCTGTACATCCTTTAACTATAATATCAGTGTTTTTTTTCTTTATATAACTACTACCCTAAAACGGTACCATTCCCAATAGAAAATAGACATTAAAATTCCCAATTTCCAATGTTAAATTCCCAAAACGGCTGTTCAAAATGCCCACAAGGCCAAGTGATTTTTCTAAGATCATTTAAATCCAACATATTCATATAAATCACCACTCAATAGTTCTATTTTGACAGTAGAAGCTGTTAGCTATCTTTATTCATGATGTCTAATCTCATTTGTAGCTGAAAAAATGCATTAAAAAAATTCCCAATTTTAGTCAAAATAACGCATTTTTTTCCCAATCAGTCTGGTACCGGCCCCATTCCCAAAGTAGAGAAAAAAAACACTGAATATAAACACAATTAACAACACTTATAACATTTCCACAGTTTATTTATTAATAGTAGATCTGGCAATGGCCTCTAAACGTTTTTTAGCTGCAAATATGGATAAAAACAAATAAGTTGTAAGATTTCTCTAAATATTTGTTTCTATGTTTTCATATAGATTAGTTGTTAATGTCACGGATTTATATTACAGGGATCGGTCACTCCAAGTTAACCCTTATATATAAATTTCCCAAATATCTTGTTGCGCACCCGATAAAGGTACATCAATCGATAAATTTACTGCCACTAAGGGTAAATGCCTGTTTGCAATGGATACCTACTTTACAAAATACTGTACAGCTTTTCCATTTATTATTCGATTTTGGAAATTTAAAGTTTATTTTGGAGAAAAATACTTGTTTAATTCAAATATCTTAAGTTGTTATTTTAAAGATACAGACTATCTGTCCGCAACAACAATTATAAAATTAATTTGACGAAATCCGCGTTGAATTTACCTTTTTGCATCGCCTCTACGGACTACTCCTCATAAACTACTGGTGCAATTTCATCCAAACTAATTTCATCCAAACTTTACAGGAATGATCAGTATCAAGTCTTGTTGTGCATATTGTCAGCATTTTCCGGTTCAATGATTTTTGTAAGAGTTATGGCCCTTTTATAATTTTTAATTTTAAAGTTTGTCCGGACTACTTCTCTTATACCACTAATGCAATTTCAATGAAACTTTACAGGATTGATCTGTAGCTCAAGTCCTTGCGCATATTGCACGGGTTTTCTGGTTGAATGATTTTTGGCCGAGTTATGGCCCTTTGATAAAAAGGTGTTTTTTTCTGTGTGTTGCCAGATACACAAAAGCTTGTCCGGACAACTCCTCATAAACTACTGGTGCAATTTCATCCAAACTTTACAGGAATGATCAGTACCAAGTTTAGTTGTGCACTGTTCGTCTGTCACAAAATTTGTCCCATAATGAAATTGGCCATTATGAGGCGACACATGTGATTACTGATCGCTCTTGTTTATTTTAAAAGCAGATATTTGAAATTTATTATTACGGTAACATAATTAATTCAATTTCAAAATATAAAAGAAGCAGATGTAAGTTTTTCACAGATGATCAAAGATGTGATATTTAAGATTTATTGGGTTATGTAGTCAAATTTATTGACGCACAATTGTTTTACGGGTAAATGTATTGCGGGCTTAACATTTATTTGCTCAACATGTAATTTAAAAAGTAAATTTATTCATTTTTATTTAGTACAAAATATTGTTGATATTGTCAATTTTGCCATTTTCATAGAATATTTAAATTTCCTTCATCATTTATATCATCATTATTTTTTTGTAAATCTGTTTTCAAATGTCGATGCAGTGAAGTAGACAATCAGCGTAACAGTAAAGTCGTAACTCCCGTGTGGCTGTCTCGATTTTCGGCCTTTTTTAATGTCACTCGTATACATGTATTTAAATTATTCTTTTTTTTTTAACAATGGAAACATTATAATATTATATCATTTATTTATTGATGCTAATTTGTTGGCGAGTGTTTTCGTGTATTTTCGTACAATTGAATATTGACAGTCTGCGATGAATTTCATTAAAGTTTAAAATTTTTAAAACAGGGGGCAATTATCTTCCCTTTAGAAATTTAAGAAGACAAATGCTGGGTGTGTTATTTTTTTTTCAGACGTACATATGTATTTTAGTAAATTACCGTGTGTAATAAATTGATCATTGGTCACCCAAGAGAGCGGAATGTCCCTGCAATATTTCACAGTGATCAACAGTGACGATATTCCGCAGCACAAATTGCACCCGATCGGGTGATTACAGAAAGTCAAAACTGTAGCAGGGACGTTGCCGTGACAATCCAATCGTAAAATAATCGCAGGGATTGGCGGACTTTAGTAAATTGTTTAAGCTGTACTGTACATTTATTGAAAGTAGATTTATAATTGATATCGAGATGTGTTTCTTATTTCTTTTATGGTTTGTAAAGTTTCCTTGCTTATAATTCTGAAGAAAAAAAGACAGGAAATATGTCTCGAGATGACGTCTGACATATCTTCCAAGTTCTACCTAAAGTCTCCTCACTTCTTTGTAAATCAGCTTGAGGGAGAAATCACTTCTGACCCAGCTCAAACTCTGCCTTTGTATCAACCTTTTACTTGACACAGATTGAAATGTGATATCAAATTATAGAAATTAATTGCAGAGATGTAGAACATAATATCTACTTCTGTATATGACCATTTCTAACAACGAATCTCAGTTGAGCAATCTGGGGCCAATATGTAATCTTGTGATTGTAACAATGCCTTGATTGTAAGTCAAAGTTCATGGTCCCTTAACTGGGGCCAGCTTTCAGGGCATTTGAGTGTTTGTGTTTAGAAATAGTTAATGTTGGTTTTCCATGGATTCTTACAAATTGTAGTTACAAATATTTCTTTTTTTTCTAGAAATCAAGATGGCACATGAGATACATTTAAAGAACAACAAATACCGGCAGTGGGTTAAGGCTGGCCTAGGCTTGGGTTATCTTAAAGAGGGACTTGCGCCATTTTGTGATGACATAGGAAGACAGCAGCACAACGATATTATAAACCAAATACAACAAACAAAGACTCCTCAACCAAACATACCATGTGGCGCCTGTCAGATAACAACTCTCCAGCCAGATCATGTCCGAGTCTCAAAAGGGATATGTCCCCTCAAACAAGATAAATGTAACTGTTGCTTTCCAAATAATAACCTGTACGAAAATGCCTACCCTGACTACACCCTGATTTGACATGGGATCAAAAATTTATTCCCAGCCAGGTTTTATAAGCTTTTCAGTTGACTATAGAGGAGACAGAAATCTATTTTTAGATTTTGTAGTATACAATATATAGTGTTTTCAGGGTGGATTCAACGAAATATTTAAATGAGCCAGAAAAAATACCACCCTGAAATGGAAATCCAGGGCAGAATTTTTACTCACACAGATTTCTAAAAATAGATTTACTTCTAGTTAAATTAAGAGCAATTTCAGGGTGGGATTAATTTGAAATATTTAAATGAGCCATAATTCACCCTGATTTCTGTTTAAAAAGTCAGGCCAGACTTTTTTCTTCTGTTATTATCCTGCCCCAAAATTTTGCAAATCCCACCCTGAAATTAAAATAAAAATCCACCCAGATTCCTGTTCTTTTTGATATTTGACAAAATAATAATTGAGATATTTTTCACTTATCTGTATTTGATTTTCATACAATTAAATACATTTCAAAAGTCATTCTTGTTTGATATTTCCACTAGGCAGCTGCACACTGTATTACATAATTCCACACTATGGTCTCTGGACTACACAATCTGTAAACATATGAAAGCAGTGTAGGAATATGCTATAGTCAACTTTCAATTTATATATTAATCTAAAAGAAAATGTTACACCTTAATATAGAGAAATATGTCCATACAATGTAGTTTTAAAGGTATAATATTTCATTAATTGCAATCAAAACATCAAAAGAACAAATGATTAATGAAATTATTTTTAGGAAGCTTGACAGCATTATTAACAAATATGTACTGACTTTATGAAGTCATTAACCCTTTACCACATATATACGCGAAACAACGCACTTTCGACCCCTCCCCCTTTTTTTGGGCCTCAAATAGTGAAAAAAATGTCCTATTTGGGCCCCAAACATAAGTTTTCGTTTGAGAAATGTTGGTAAAAAAATTGAGCACTTTTTCGGCGCCGCCCCCCATCCAAAAGATACATCAGGGGGTTGCCAGAAGGGGGATGTGCCCCCTTCTGTTAGGGGGGTTTGAAGGGGGGCGGAGTCCCCCTCATCGCCAAGAAAATTTTGGACTTGTGAAAGGCTAAAAATGACCCCAGGTCGATCATAATGTAACGTTTTACCAACGCTGAAAAGCCTTTGACTCTATCTCAATCCCTTGAGAAGTTGCAGCCCTTTGAAATAAATTTTGATGGAAAAAATCGAGGCAAAATAGTGATTTTTGGCAATTTTGAGATGTCCCCTCGTTGCCATGGTAACAGGAAATTTGAGACTGAGCATGTCGTTGCAAAGGCAATGGTCCAGTCAACATTTGTGCCAAGTTTGATTACTATTGAAGCATTTTTCATAGTTTCATAGCAGTTTGAACTTGTAACAGGAGGCTTTTCAGTGAAAACGGCCATTTTTCACAATATGCTCATGGGGGAAAGGGTTAATTCTATAAAATTTGCCTGAATGAATACTTTTAATAATTAAAACTGAAACTAATTTTAATAGAAAATGAAAAAATTACCAGTAATATTTCTTCTATTGTATTCTTTTGTTCCAACTACACCATTTTCTTCTTCTTCATCCTCTTGTCACATGTTACTGAAATATTTGGCTTCAACCTAAATTTTGGAAGTAGAAAAAAACAAATATGCAATCATGTCATAATTTTTATTACATTTTAAGACTTCAGTTTTTTTTTTCTAAAATGGAATGATCAAAATGTATAGTTTATTTAGAAAAAATAAGAATGATTTCATTTTCCCTCCATATTTTAAAACAGGTTTCTTGGAAAGTTATTTAAAATCTTTTTTGAATAATGAGCTTACAGAATTCATAATTTTATGAAAAATCAAAAATATTAAGAACTGTAATTCAATTATAACTTACCATTTATCTGTTACAATTGGCTGCTTATTTCCCTCCATTTTTTTTTCAAATTGAATAACGGAGTTTAACACATCTATATTATGCTCCATGTTATATATAAATTTCACAATAAATTTCCCAAGAAAGTTCCGTATAGCTGGGGTAGTTGAATTCTTAAATCTCATTTTCTATGTAATTATCAAAACTCATTTATGTATTAATATATAATTGTAAGTTGATTTATTTGAATTAAAATCACAACTAAAGCCTCCAATCTTCCTAAAGAAAATGACCATGTTGGAAATAATTTTCAGGGTGTGATATTTGCTCTGGATTTTAAACTGCTGTCGGTCAATTTGTGGTAACTTCTCTATTTTCATCTGCCAGATAGCCCAGTTTAACATATAGTATTTTGAAATACTGTAAAAAGTTCCACTTGAAGGTTATTTGTTTATATAAACTGAAAGCTGACCTTAGAGAAGGAGATTCTGTACAGATTGTGAGATGATGGATATAAACTAAAAATCTTGAACATTACTTATTGCTGACCAATTAATGCATTGAATAATATTTTTTATCATATTAAGTTAAATAAAAATACAATCAATTACCAGTGACAATTATCAATTTTATAGATAACAATAAATCATGTTGAGCTATATAATCTACATAATTTAAAAAAAAAATAAAGAATAATTCAGTAAATGAAAAGAATTTTTGTTAAATGGAGTTTACCATAAATCAACTGAAACTTTCCAGAAATAGACATTATAATATATTTTCTTCTGAATTAAAACTTCAATTTTATGTAAACAGCAATGTAAACTGTACTATTAGTGTATTACAATATTCATTTCTAATAACTCTAACAAAGAAAAATCAGGCTGGAAATGAAGAACTTTTAAGACTGTATTGAAACTGGTTCTTAAAAATTTTCTAACATTGAAATATCTGGGTAGAGTTTGCTTATATTTCTCAAAGTCAGTAAAATCTGTGTCAAAATATTTTCAAAGTGCAAATATTCCTGCTTCCACCCTGACTTTTACCAAAATGAAGACGATGTCAGGGTAGAAAAAATTTGAATTCCCATGTGAGATTTCTTGAAAATTCAGGGTCCATGTCTATTTCACCCTGATTTTGCCAAGTCTGGTTCAAAACAGGCCTGAATCGGTCCTGTTTTTCATAAAAACCATGCTGATTTTTCGTACAGGAAGAGACCCTGTCCAAACAATGTATGTGGTGCCATCTATGACAGCATTATACAGAGTCATGCATCAATGCCACCGGCACCTTTTTGGAAAAACAGTGATGTCCGACAGTGGTCAACAGAACCGTGGGAGGTTTGCAAATGTTTTATAAATGCTCCTGGGTACAAGGACAAGACATCAGCAGTCGACACTGATTGCACTGGGTTGCTTCATGTTATCATAAATAACAATTACTTTCATAGTCATATTGGATGCAATGTTACAGGACCAAACAATCTTTTTTCAAAGGTAACTAGATTTGTATACTATAATTATTATACCCCCAAAAACGAAGTTTGGGGGGGGGTATATAGGAGTCACCCGGTGGTCGGTCGGTCGGTTGGTCGGTCGGACGGTCCAGACGTCCGTTGCATTTTCCTTGTCCGGAGCATAACTTGAAAACTAATGGTTGGAATTCAATATAACTACATATAATGGTCAAGCACATTGAGAGGAAGTGCAGTGCACAAGAACCATAACTCTATCTTGACTAATTACAGAGTTATTGCCCTTTGTTACTTTTCCTTGTCCGGGGCATAACTTTAAAACTACTGGTTGGAATTCAAAACAACTTCATACAATTGTCAAACACAATAAGGGGAAGTGCAGTGCACAAGAACCATAACTCTATCTAAAGTAATTACAGAGTAATTGCCCTTTGTTTCTTTTCCATTGCTTTTTTTTGTCTGTTGTATTTTCCTTGTCCGGAGCATAACTTAAAGACTAATGGTTGGAATTCAATATAACTACATACAATGGTCAAGCACATTGAGAGGAAGTGCAGTGCGTAAGAAACATAACTCTATCTTGACTAATTACAGAGTTATTGCCCTTTGTTACTTTTCCTTGTCCGTGGCATAACTTGAAAACTACTGGTTGGAATTCAAAACAACTTCATACAATTGTCAAACACAATAAGGGGAAGTGCAGTGCACTAGAACCATAACTCTATCTAAAGTAATTACAGAGTTATTGCCCTTTGTTGCTTTTCCATTGCCTTCTTTTTTTTGTCGGGACCATAACTTGAAGACTAATGGTTGGAATTCAATATAACTACATACAATGGTCAAGCACATTGAGAGGAAGTACAGTGCATAAGAACCATAACTCTATCTAAAGTAATTACAGAGTTATTGCCCCTTATTACTTTTCCATTGCTTTCTTTTGTCCGGACCATAACTTGAAGACTAATTGTTGCAATTCATTATAACTTCATACAATGGTCCAGCACATTCAGAGGAAGTGCAGTGCACAAGAACCATAACTCCATTTTGACTTATTACAGAGTTACTGCCCTTTGTTTCTTTTCCTTGTCCAGAGCATGACTTTAAAACTACTGGTTGGAATTCAAAACAACTTCATACAATGGCCAAGCACAATAAGGGGAAGTGCAGTGCACAAGAACCATAACTCCATCTTGACTAATTACAGAGTTATTGCCCTTTGTTACTTTTCCATTGGTTTTGTCCGGACCATAACTTGAAGACTTATTGTTGGAATTCATTATAACTTCATACAATGGTCAAGCACATTGAGAGGAAGTGCAGTGCATAAGAACCATAACTCCATCTTGACTAATTACAGAGTTACTGCCCTTTGTTACTTTTCCTTGTCCAGAGCATGACTTTAAAACTACTGGTTGGAATTCAAAACAACTTCATACAATGGTCAAGCACAATAAGGGGAAGTGCAGTGCACAAGAACCATAACTCCATCTTGACTAATTACAGAGTTATTGCCCTTTGTTACTTTTCCTTGTCCAGAGCATAACTTGAAAACTACTGTTTGGAATTCAGTACAACTTCATACAGTTGTCAAGGACATTAAAAGGAAGTGCAGTGCACAAGAGCCATAACTCCATTTTGACAAAATACAGAGTTACTGCCCTTTGATACTTTTCCTTGTCCGGAGCATAACTTAAAACGTACTGGTTGGAATTCAAAACAACTTCATACAATGGTCAAGCACAATAAGAGGAAGTGCAGTGCACAAGAACTATAACTCTATCTTCAGTATTTATAGAGTTATTGCCCTTTGTTCTTTTTCTTTGTTTTTCTGGACTTATTACAGAGTAATTCAATTAAACTTCATCAATGGCCAACCACATTGAAAGGAAATGCAACATACATGAACCACAATTATCTTTAATTGTTTCAATTCTATTACAAGGTATTCTGTTACTAGTAACATCCTCATTTCCGAAGCAGACTTGTGGGGGTATTAATCACATTTAGTGATAGTTCTAGTTATGTTTATTTTTAATTTTGAAGAATATTAAGCTTTACTGTAATATTAAGTCTGTTAATTAAGTATAAAAGCAAAAGAGAATGTTTTTACCTTAGTGCAGTTATTGGTTAACTCTTTATTATACCCCCAAAAACGAAGTTTGGGGGGTATATAGGAGACACCCGGTGGTCGGTTGGTTGGTCGGTCCAGCGGTCCTTTGCATTTTCCTTGTCCGGAGCATAACTTGAAAACTAATGGTTGGAAGTCAATATAACTTAATACAATGGTCAAGCACATTGAGAGGAAGTGCAGTGCACAAGAACCATTACTCCATCTTGACTAATTACAGAGTCACTGCCCCTTGTTACTTTTCCTTGTCCAGAGCATAACTTAAAAACTACTGGTTGGAATTCAAAACAACTCCATACAATTGTCAAGCACAATAAGGGGAAGTGCAGTTCACAAGAACCATAACTGTATCTAAAGTAATTACAGAGTTAATGCCCTTTGTTACTTTTCCATTGCTTTCTTTTGTCCGGACCATAACTTGAAGACTAATGGTTGGAATTCAATATAACATCATACAATGGTCAAGCACATTGAGAGGAAGTGCAGTGCACAAGAACCATAACTCCATCTTGACTAATTACAGAGTTACTGCCCTTTGTTACTTTTCCTGCCAGAGCATAACTTGAAAAATACTGGTTGGAATTCGAAACAACTTCATACAATTGTCAAGCACAATAAGGTAAAGTGCAGTGCACAAGAACCATAACTTAATCTTGACTTATTACAGCGTTATTGCCCTTTGTTACTTTTCCATTGCTTTTTTTGTCCGGAGCATGACTTGAAAACAAATGGTTGGAATTCAATATAATTTCATACAATGGTCAAGCACAGTTAGAGGAAGTGCAGTGCACAAGAACCGTAACTTCATCTTCATCTTGACTAATTACAGAGTTACCGTATAAGTACTTTTTTCTGCGGGAACTTTATTTCTGCTATTTCTGCGGTTCTTAAGGACAGCGCAGATTTAAAAACCGCAGAAAATTAAGCCTTTCACTGTGTCTATGTCGGAATATGTCAACTACCCGTATTGTATAATTACATTACTATACATGTACCGTTATCGGTTTTGTAGATGGGAAATTTTCTTTATGTATCCGTCATGAATAAAATATTAGAAAAAAAGTTACTTTATTTGTTCTTTTTGTTTAAATAATATCATGTTTGTATGATTTTCGCTCACCCTATGCTTGATTATTATTTGTAAAATAAAACTATTATAGTTTGACGGGTGCAATAAACATACCCTTTTGTATTTGTACAATATCTTGTGTCTACGTGCGATTTTACCATTGTTTATTTTTCACACTTCATATTTATACACATGCAGTATTACAATTAATTGTTGTCACTGCACGTTGTTAATCTATCTTTGTTTTTAGCTCACCTGTCACAAAGTGACAGGGTGAGCTTTTGTGATCGCTTTTCGTCCGGCGTCCGGCCGTCCGTCCGTAAACTTTTACTTTAAATGACATCTCCTCATAAACCACTAAGCCAATTTCATCCAAACTTCACAGGAATGTTCCTTTGGTGGTCACCTTTAAAAATTGTTCAAAGAATTTATTCCATGCAGAACTCTGGTTGCCATGGCAACCAAAATAAAAAACTTTAAATATCTTCTTTTAAAAAACCATAAGAGCTAGAGCTTAGATATTTGGCATGAAACATCTTCTAGTGAGTGTCTACCAAGTTTGTCCAAATAAAAGCCCTGGGGTCAAAATTGGCCCCGCCCCGGGGGGTCATTGATTTTCCCTCTATGCATATAGTATAAACTTAAAAAATCTTCTTTTAAAGAACCAAAAGAGTGAGAGCTAAGATATTTAGCATGAAACATGTTCTAATAAGTGTCTACCAAGTTTGTTCAAATAAAAGCCCTGGGGTCAAAATTGGCCCGCCCTGGGGGGGGGGTCATTGATTTTCCCTATATGCATATAGTAAAAACTTAAAAAATCTTCTTTAAAGAAACTCAAAGAGCTATGGCTAAGATATTGAGCATCAAACATGTTCTACTAGTGTCTACCATGTTTGTTCAAATAAAAGCCCCTGGCGTCAAAATTGGCCCCGCCCCCAGGGGGTCATTGATTTTCCCTATATGCATATAGTAAAAACTTAAAAAATCTTCTTTTAAAGAACCAAAACAGTTAGAGCTAAGATATTTAGCATGAAACATGTTCTAATAAGTGTCTACCAAGTTTGTTCAAATAAGAGCCCTGGGGTCAAAATTGGCCCCGCCCCGGGGGGGGGGGTCATTGATTTTCCCTATATGCATATAGTAAAAACTTAAAAATCTTCTTTTAAAGAACTCAGAGAGCTATGGCTAAGATATTTAGCATCAAACATGTTCTAATAGGTGTCTACCATGTTTGTTCAAATAAAAGCCCTGGGGTCAAAATTGGCACCGCCCCGGGGGTCATTGATTTTCCTCATATGTTTATAGCAAAAACTTAAAAAATCTTCTTTGAAAAAACCCAAATAGCTAGAGTTAAGATATTAAGCATGAAACATCTTTTAGTGAGTGTCTACAAAGTTTGTTCAAATAAAAGACATGGGGTCCAAATTGGCCCGGCCCCGGGGGTCATTGATCTTCCTTGTATGTGTATAGCAAAAACTTAAAAAATCTTCTTTGAAAAAACCCAAATAGCTAGAGTTAAGATATTAAGCATGAAACATCTTTTAGTGAGTGTCTACAAAGTTTGTTCAAATAAAAGACCTGGGGTCAAATTTGGCCCCGCCCCGGGGGTCATTGATTTTCTTTATATGTGTATAGCAAAAACTTAAAAAATCTTCTTTGAAAAAACCCAAAAAGCTAGAGTTTAGATATTAAGCATGAAACATCTTCTAGTAAGTGTATACAAAGTTTGTTCAAATAAAAGCCCTGGCCCGGCCCCAGGGGTGTCATTGTTTTTAACTATATGTGTATAGTAAAAACTTTAAAAAAAATCTTCTTTTAAAAAGCCCAATGAGCTAGAGCTTAGATGTTTAGCATGAAACATCTTCTTATGGGTGTCTACCAAGTTTGTGCAAATAAAAGCCCTTGGGTTAAATTGGCCCTGCAACGTTGGGGGGGGGTTGGGGGGGCCTATATACAGGTGAGCTACCTCAGGGCCATTATGGCCCTCTTGTTTAATGTTTAAATACCGATACATGATGATTACGATAAAACACATTAGAAGTCGTCTGCATAGTTACCGGAAGTAATGTACATGTTACATCAACAGATCATAAAATGTTCTCTGTTTGTATCGGTTAATTTTGTAAAAATATCAAAATTAGACCGCATAAACAAAAAACATCAATGCGAGAATGATAACACCGCAGAAATAAGATACGCAGAAATTTAAAACCCCTTATTTTAACAAAAATCGCAGAATATTAAGCCGGTAGAAATAAGTACTTATACGGTATCGCCCTTTGTTACTTTTCCTTGTTCGGACCATTACTTGAAAACTACTGGTTGGAATTCAATACAACTTCATACAGTTGTCAAGCACATTAAGAGGAAGTGCAGTGCACAAGAACCATAACACCATTTTGACAAATTACCGAGTTATTGCCCTTTGATACTTTTCCTTGTCCAGAGCATAACCTAAAACGTACTGGTTGGAATTAAAAAAAAACTTGATACAATGATCAAGCACAATAAGAGGAAGTGCAGTGCACAAGAACTATAACTCTGTCCAGAGAAATTATAGAGTTATTGCCCTTTGTTGCTTTTCCATTGCTTTTTTCTTGTCCAGAGCATAACTTGAAAATTACTAGTTGGAATTCAATACTATTTCATACAATGGTCAAGTATACTGAGAGGAAGCACTGTGTACAGAAATCATAATTCTTTCTGGACTTATCTAAAAGTTTTTGCCCTTTGTTACTTTTTATTGTCCAGTGCTAAACTTGTAGATTAATGGTTGGAATTCAATGAAACTTCATACAATGGTCAAGGGCAGTGAGATGAAGTGCAGTACACAAGAACCATAACTCTGTTTGGACTAATTACAGTTATTGCCCTTTGTTACTTTTTTGTCCTGTGCATAACTTGAAAACTTGTAGTTGGAATTCAATACAACTTCATACAATGGTCAAGTGCAATGAGAGGAAGTGCAGTGTTCAATAACCATAACTCCATCTTCAGTATTTATAGAGTTATTGCCCTTTTTTCCTTTTCCTTGTCTTTCTGGACTTATTGCAGAGTAATTCAATAAAACTTCATCAATGGCCAACCACATTGAAAGGAAATGCAATATACAAGAACCACAACTATCTTTAATTGCCCACAACCATAATTGTATTTCAATTGTTTTACAAGGTATTCTGTTACTTGTAACATCCTCATTTCCGAAGCAGTCTTGCGGGGGTATTAATCACATTTAGTTGAATTTTTATAAGAGTTTACCCATTACCGTGCTAAGATGAAATTATATCCATATAACTATGAGGTTAATGCAGTTTAATTTTGCCAGAGAAACAATTTGCAACAAATGAATAATGATTCAAAATTGTTACGCATAAAGTTGTATTCTTAAATATATTTCAGCAATACAATCTTTTCGCTAGCTCTTATTTTTGTGGGAAGGAAACAAAACCTATTTCTATTTTAAGCCCACTGTAAAATGTACAGAAGTAGGTTATTTGTGCTTTTTAAGTAAATGCAACACGTAAATATCATAACTTCAGTAAAATATTTATAAAATTTATCAAAAACCATTTCTATTCCATTTGCTTTTATATAATCTGCAGTTTAAACACAATAATAATAATGATTATTATGGTAAGTACTTTAAAGTAACTCCTTATTTACAGTTTTAATTCTCAACTTAGGAATTGTGTTTAGTCTCATTGCTGAACACTGTATTTATGTGAATGTTGTTTATTTGTTTTCTGTATATTAGGTACGGCAAAGTACCGAAACGAAATTTTTCACTCTAGCTCTATGGAGCTAGAGGAGAGTAAGGCTAATTGTTATATTCA